CTTCGGATGCCCCACGAAAGGTTTTTACCCACGAAAGCTTATGCCCAAATAAATCTGTTAGTTTTTAAGGTGCCACCAGACTCCTTGTTGTTTTCATATTCGTTAAGTCTCTTAGTGTGACAACTCATTTACTCTTGAAACCTCAGACTTTTTGGAGATTCTTACACATGATTTGAATGTTACTGGTGTGATGGAATGGGGAATTACTTGAAGATAGGATTGCTGCCTGTTGTGGTTGCTCTGTGAACATTGCTGTTAAAACTGCCATTTTCTTTTAAGGTCTTCTACTTTGATGGGTACTTTAATTGCACCTTAAATATTTTTGCCTGGGAATGTAAAGACGTTTTTTGGGACACAGGCTACTAGATAAGACCCTTTCCTTCCCAGGTTGCCCAGCCTTTCTCTCCCTCCTGCTCATTCTCGTGTTAGGCCACCACTGCCCCTCTTAATTTCTCCTTGGCAATTTTTAAATCAAGATCAGCTCTTTCTTTAAAAGATGTGATTTGGTTCAAAAGGAATTACATTGGGGAAGTTCTATGGGCTGTTATACAGGAGGTCAGACTAGATGATCACAATAGTCCCTTCTGGCCTTGGAATTTATGTCGTCATAAATTATGTTCAGTAACTCCTCACTTAACGTTGTAGTTATGTTCCTGAAAAATGCAACTTTAAGTGAAATGATGTTAAACGAATCCAATTTTCCCATAAGATTTAATGTAAATGCAGAGGGTTAGGTTCAAAGGAAATTTTGGGGGGCAGACAAAAGGCATTATATATTGTACGGTACTGTACTGTGGTTGGGAAGTGCCCCTGGCTTACCCCACACAGGTACAGCCCACTGCAGGCAAGGACACTAGGAAGCCCCTTTGCAGCAGCAGTGGCAGCTTCCCTGGAGAAGAACAGGCGCCGACTTTGCCGGGGGATGCTCCAGGCCCTGCCTCTTCCTGTCCCCGCTTCACTCCAGGCCCACCTCTTCCCACCCCCACTCCACCTCCTCTCCGGAGCACGCCACATCCCTGCTCCTCTCCCCCCACTCCCCCCCTCCCCCAAAGTCCTAAGTGCCGCCAAACAGCTGTTTGGTGGGGGAAACGCTGGGAGGGGGAGGAGAGGAACTTGTGGAATGCTCCTTTGTAAAGTTGCTGCTCTTCCACGGAATCTTACAAGCAGTGGACAGAGCAGGCAGCCAAACAACGTTATAAGGGAGCATTGCACAACTTTAAACGAGCACATTCTCTAATTGAGCAGCGACATAACTTTGAAACAACATTAAGTGGGAGGAAAGCGGGAGGACATTGAGTGAGGAGTTACTGTATTGTGGCCCATAAAGTATGCAGAAACTGATTTTGGTAACTAGCTGTGCCAACAAACTGCTCCAAAACCAGTTCAAGTTACCATTCTTGCCAACAGACTAAAACAAATGTGGGGATTCTAGGCCATGCCATTTTGGAGATGTATCAAGCTGGGAAACAATCCTGGATTGGCGCTCCCTTTTTTGAGCCACATATTTTATCTTCACATAAGATCACACCTTGTCCATCAGTGCAGTCCTTGGACTGTGGTAACTTGCTTCAGAGGCCACTTCAGTCTGGGATGGTCCAAATCAAAAGACCACCTTCTGCTTCAGCTGTTCCAATACAGCTGAAGGTTTGGCCCTTTATAAATGTAAAAATCAACAAGTATGCACTGAGCACTATATTAAACATTACAATGACTACTCCTTACTGATTTTTTTTTTTTTTTTTTTTTTTTTTTTGGTTCC